GTCCACACCAGTGGTGGAGAAATACCCAATTGTCATACTTGAGTAAAAGTAAAGATACCCTAATAGAAAAGGACTCAAGTAAAAGTGAATGTCACCCAGTAAAATACTACTTGTGTAAAAGTCTAAAAAGTATTTCGTTTTAAATATACTTAAGTATCAAAAGTAAATGTAATTGCTAAAATATACGTAGGCCTTTCCAAATCGCCCTCTAGTGGCCTCATGGGTAGAATGTTATTAATATATTTTCATAATTTCATAATTAATAAACATTATTTCCTCAAAAAATCTGAAAATCTGAAAATGTTTTTATGTCAAACGGTTTTGTTATATTTCAGTCGTCTGTGATGTATATAAAGTGTAATATTGGAATGAAAACTCAAAATACTATATCTGACATGGTGTCTTCTTTCTTTAAGCCCATAACCATGTGCTTGAGGTGTATACTTTTGTTTCAAAGTAGATTTGTTTAAGACTACCAAGAAACACTGTGTGACCCTGATTTAGTATAAAGTTTTAAGTATCAAAAGTTAAAGTATAAATCATTTCAAATTCCTTATGCTAGATGGCTGTGGTAGCCATGCTGGTTAAGTGTGACTTGAATTCTAAATAAATCACAGACAGTGTCACCAGCAAAGCACCCCTCACCATAACACATGCAGAGATCATCCGTTCACCCACACCGCGTCTCACAAAGACGCGGCGGTCGGAACCAAAAATCTCCAATTTGGACTCCAGACCAAAGGACACATTTCCAACGGTCTAATGTCCATTGCTCGTGTTTCTTGGCCCAAGCAGGTCTCTTCTTATTATTGGTGTCCATTAGTAGTGGTTTCTTTGCAGCAATTCGACAATGAAGGCCTGAATCACACAGTTGATGTTGAGTTGTGTCTGTGACTTGAACTCTGTGAAGCATTTATTTGGGCTGCAATTTCTGAGGCTGGTAACTCTAATGAACTTATCCTCTGCAGCAGAGGTAACTCTGGGTCTTCCATTACTGTGGCGATCCTCATGATAGCCAGTTTCATCATAGCGCTTGTGGTTTTTGTGACTGCACTTGAAGAAACTTTAAAAGTCTTAAAGTAATGATTGACTGTCGTTTCGCTTTGCTTATTTGAGCAGTTCTTGACATAATATGGTCTTTTACCAAATAGGGCTATCTTCTGTATACCCCCCCTACCTTGTCACAACACAACTGATTGGCTCAAACGCATTAAGAAGGAAATAAATTCCACAAATTAACTTTTAACAAGGCACACCTGTTAATTGAAATGCATTCCAGGTGACGACCTCATGAAGCTGGTTGAGAGAATGCCAAGCGTGTGCAAAGCTGTCATCAAGGCAAAGGGTGGCTACTTTGAAGAATCTCAAATATAAAATATATTCTGATTTGTTTAACACTTTTTTGGTTACTACATGATTCCATATATGTTATTTCATAGTTTTGATGTCTTCACTATTATTCTACAATGTAAAAAATATCAAAAATAAAGAAAAACCCTTTGATGAGTATGTGTGTCCAAACTTTTGACTGGTATTGTATGTGTTCTTGTAATCCCTCCATGTGTAGAAAAGCAAGGTAGAGTTGATACACACAGCACTGATTACATTAGCAATGGTTGTTAGGTGAATTCCAGGAAAGACAACTGATAGTATTTGGACCAATGAGCAGATCAAAATTGATTAAATATGTTTATTTTCTCACCCCTCTACACACAATAACCCATAATGACAGTTAAAACATGTTTTCTTCCTGAAATTTTAGCAAATCTATTGAAAATACAGAAATATCTAATTTACATAAGTATTCACACCCCTGAGTCAATACATGTTAGAATTACCTTTGGCAGCGATTACAGTTACGAGTCTTACTGGGTAAGTCTCTTAGAGCTTTGCACACCTGGATTGTACAATATTTGCACATTATTCTTTAAACAATTCTTCAAGCTCTGTCAAGTTGGTTGTTGATCATTGCTAGACAGCCATTTTCAAGTCTTGCCATAGATTTTCTAGCCAATTTAAATCAAAACTGTAACTAGGCCACTCAGTAACATTCAATGTTGTCTTGGTAAGCAACTCCAGTGTATATTTGGCCTTGTGTTTTAGGTTATCATCCTACTGAAAGGTGAATTTGTCTCCCAGTGTCTGTTGGAAAGCAGATTGAAACAGGTTTTCTTCTAGGATTTTACCTGTGCTTAGCTCTATTCCGTTTCTTTTTATCCTAAAATACTCCCTAGTCCATGCCGATGACAAGCAGACCCATAACATGATGCAGCCACCACCATGCTTGAAAATATGAAGAGTGGTACTCAGTGATGTGTTGTGTTGGATTTGCTCCAAATTTAGCACTTTGTATTCAGGACATAAAATCAAAGTTAAGTCTACACCCGCTGTATTCAGTGTATGTGACAAATACAATTTGATTTGACTTGAGTGATTTCGGCTAGACGGGCCAGCTGCAAAGTCAAAATTTGCTATATTGTAAAAATTCATGAAAACAAAAATGTGCTTTTGGGTCTTAATTTAAGGTTAAAGTTAGACATTAGGGTTAGTAGTGTGGTTAAGGTTAGGATTCCGGTTAGGGTTAGGTTTCAAATGTGATTTTATGACTTTGTGGCTGTGGCAGCTAGTGACAACACTGCAGAGCTGCCTCCATAACAAGATTCATTCTGTCGTAGCTGGCCACGACCGGGAGACCCATGGGGGCGGTGCACAATTGGCCCAGCGTCGTCCAGGGTAGGGGAGGGAATGGCCGGCAGGGATGTAGCTCAGTTGGTAGAGCATGGCGTTTGCAACGCCAGGGTTGTGGGTTCGTTTCTCACGGGGGGCCAGTATGAAAAAAATATATATAAAAAAAAAAAATATATATATATATATAATAAATGAAAATGTATGCACTCACTAACTGTAAGTCGCTCTGGATAAGAGCGTCTGCTAAATCACTAAACATTTTAAAAAGGGCTTTTGTCTTCAATAACACAAAAGCCCTGTATATCACTGGTTCTAACATGCGTCCTTTGTCCCGATCAAATCAAAGTTTATTGGTCGAGTACACAGCTTTGTAGGTGCAGCTAAATGCTTGTGATGACAAAGGACCCATGTTAGCCCCAGGTATTAATAAGGCTAAAGAGCTCTTCTTTGGCTATGTCAGAGGCTGTGGATACAAATGTATCTTAATTTGCCTCATAGTACATAGTCATGAAGTCAATTTTGTTTGTTGTTGTTCTCTGCACAACTAAGATAAGATTAGATAATATATACTTTATTGTGCATGTTCTTTGCAGATCATGGACATACTATACGTAACTAAGGACTAGAAGGGAATGCCCCCTCTTCCATTTATGTTTATTTTTGGGGTCTATTCGTACACACTGTACTGTATGCACACAATACAGAGTCCAGGGACACGGGCTATCGTGTCACACTGTTGTGTAGTATGGGAGCTCAGATTCTAATAGGTGCTTGGATATGCATGTGTTTCTGCTCCAGTTAATGTTTTGGATTAGCAACAATTACCAAAGGTGGATAATGGAGACATACAGATATGAAGTACAATTCACAGCGAATGAAATTTCAGAGACATGATTTATTATTTCACCAGTTGGTTGTTTTATTTATCTTCAGGAATGACACCAAATGTATTTCTATTGTCTTTTTTGCTTGCTATCTTAGGAGTTGGGTTTGAATTGTAAACAGTGAAAATGATCAAATACATTTCATAAACTTCATAAACTCCTGACAAACATTGTATGACCAGGAAAGGGTGGACCTTCCTCATTTTTATTACAATACATGTAATCTTATAGCTTTGAGTCTCTCATATTTACATAGATACAGCCAGGTTCCAGCTCGACGCAAGTGAAACCTCTTGTTTTCTTGTTTTTTCTTTGTTTTCTTAAAGAATTATATGTACATCCTTAAACCCTAGCTGCCTGCTGCCAGGGTACACAGTTAGAATTACTTGCTTAATTCATGTATCTATTCTTGTTTATTTACTTAAACTGTAAATCAACCTTATAGCTGAATTTTGCAACACGACTCTTACAAATAAAGTTAATAATACAGAGCTCAAGCCATTGTCTTTCCAATCAAAATTGAAACTTATCCCCCAAAAAAGGAAAATAAACAAAAACATATTGCACTTAAAGTTAGGACAGCGGTAGACCTGGTTGGTGGTTAGGGGGAGGGAGCGCTTTCAGCTGAGTGCAGTTGGTGAAGCATCCAGCAAGGTATCTAAATAAATAGGCAAACCTTTGTACAGGTGAAGCAGTTTTTTTTTCATTTTTATGTCTATGAAAAGAGCAACCTCCCAACAGTATTGCTCAGTATACCTATGGAGTGCAGGTTTGAACCTAAAACGATGTAAAAAAAAAAATATAACATTTTATGTGTAAAAAACGAAAATAAAAAAACTAAATCAAGCTTGGAAGCTTCATAGTCAAGTGCCTTAATGTCCTGAGAATGCTGCCTTGTTCAGTCCAGGTGGAGCTACAATGAATTGCTGATCAGAACAGAGTGAAGTGTTAGTTCTCTTTTTTTCGACAGTCTTTGGAGACAGGCAGCAAGTCTTTTTTTTATTTCCAAGATGTTTTAGAGTGAGAGTGGCACGTTTCTGCTTTTGCAGTTTTGGTCCGTTCTATTGTTGGTATTTTTCTTTTCTCCATCTTTCTCTCTCTCTCTCTCTCTCTGTCTCTGTGTCTTTTGCCGTATTCTTTGGATGAATGCGACGAGGTGAGACCCTGTGAGAAGGTGCTGAACAGAACAGATTCCGACTGTGCTTCAAAGAAGTGTGTACGCCGTGAATTGGAGAACATGACAACAGAAAAAAGCTAAAGAAACTGCTTTTTGTCTAGTCATCCAGACATTGATCCAGCAACCACGTTTCTCCTTTTTCTCGCAAGCCCATTTGGAAATGGTCATGAAAGCTTTGTGAGACATGGAAAAACTAGGACAAAACAAACCTCCGTGTCGTACCAACAGCATTTGAACTGGCTCCAAAGGAGGAAAGGGGGTGTCAAAAAAAATACAAAAATAAACGTCAACACAGTACTGGACTGTCTTCTTGTCTGCAGAGGTTTCAACCCTTTTTCCAGTACATCTGGAAGATAACTTAAATACGGACAAACGAACATATGTCGTTATGAACGACAGACAGTAATCAATGAGAGTGATCAGAGAAATCCCTGGACATGCCCTCACATGACGGTGACCAGCTGTCCTGAATGGGCTCTCCATCCCCCCTCCATCAGCCTGTTGTCATGGTCGTTGTGTAAACAACACCCCCCTCAGTGCCACGGCCTAGCTCGCCGTCTCTCTCACACCCAACTCATAGTGGGACAGGATGATGGCAGAAACAAAACAAAATGGCAAACATGAAAAAAAACTACCTCCCCCTGCTTTCAAGTCTCTGCCTTCTCTCTTTCGTCGTCGTCTCTCACGTTCTATCCTGATCTCTGCGTGTTTATGACGATGAGGAGGTGGACGTGGTGCTGGCCTTCTTCTGGTTGACTAAGTCCATGTAGAGTTCTGAGCGGAGGAAGCGAGGGTACGAGTCCTTCTCCATCAGGCCGTATATCCTGCGCTGGGCCAGGTCGAAGCAGGAGCGCGTCACATTCTGAAGGTTGTCCTTGGTGTGCTCTCGGGTGTACGAGTCCAAGTTCACCTGAGAGAGGGAAAGAGGGAGGGGAAGAAAGGAAGAGACAGAGCAGCAGGTTAGTTTCAGTGCTACCGACAACTGGTTCAAGCTGTTGGGGCTGATTTGTGACTTGAAGTTTCCACTCGGCTCTCCAGGTTAAAAAAAAAGGGGAAAAGTGAGGGAGTCTATTTGGTGCATGTCAGGCGACCAAAGAAAGCCTGTTTGTCAGGCATGATCTCACATCCTCTCCAGCTCACTCATTCCCTTGTGGGAGTGCCTTCTGACAGGCATTACACATTCATCACCTAACATCTTTAGTTGAGGGAACAATGGTGAGGGGCCCGGCCAAAATCACTGCTTTTGAATTTACAACGGGAACAAGTTTATTTCTAGTTTCTGTCAGGGAGGTGTTAGGAGCGGATTATAAAGGCTCAGTCATGAGGAGTGAGGTTGGGGTTAGCAAACACTATCTTAATTGATGGGCCGCTGATTAAGGGCTCTATTCAATCCGCACCGCGGAAGTTCAACGTTACAGCGTGATTTAAATTTAAAGGCAAATTTAAAGGCAACTGCAATCACGGTAAATGCGGCATATGTCGGCTCAATTACCTTTACATTTATATCTCGCAATCTGTAACGCTTTAGCAATACAGATTGAATATAGCCCTAAGTCTTCTAGTGAGTCAAAGTAAACAATTTGTGAAATGGAAGTGGAGAGCTCTTTTAGGTATAAACAGGAGACATTACAGTTGAAGGGTATTTTCCACCATCCCTTGTGGGTAGAAGTCTGTATGTGTATGGGGATTGCTGCTCACCTCTTTACAAGACTGGATGGCAATGTATTCAGCAAAGACTTTCTTGGCTTTGGATGCCATCTTGGATTGCGACTTAATCTTCTTGTAATCCTCGCACGCCAACCAGAATTCCAGATTCTCCTCACTGAACTCTGTGCGCAGGAAAGCTCTGAACGCCGCCAGGCCATCTGAAGGGAAGAAGGCAAGAGGGGAAAAAACAGAGAGGTGTGGGTTAGTGGACATGACTGGAGAGCTATGGCAACACAGCGTCATCTCTCTCAGTGAGGGAGACTACCTAAATAGCACAGTAGCCCAGTCCATTGAGTCACACTGTTAAAAAGGGGACTAAAGCCAATCGCCTCCAAGACACCTATCCAGTCACCTCCCATTCACAAAAACTATGCAGCATCACCCCACTGACCCTACATTACACTCTGTTACTTTTTCCTTCGTCAACACAGCTCATTGGCATGTATTTTCTCATCCCGTCTCTGTACAAAGAGATGCCTTTCTTGTTCTGGGGGGGGGGGGGGGGGGGGGGGGGGGGGGCAGTTTGCTTGTCGACCTGTTCTTGTTGCTTTGGCTATTAGGATGGTGTCGTTAATGACTTGAGGAAAAGACATCGGCAGGATAAGAATAGCAGGAAGCCGAGTCCCACCCTGCCTGGTCGCCCGCACCTTTCCGTTCACATGACCCCCCCATGCTAAATACGCTACAGGAGCAGAGAGAGAATTCGCTACAGGTCAGCCAGAAGAAAGATATAAAGAAAGTAAGAAAAAACATGAAAAGGCAGAAAAAGAGAGGAGGGAAAGTGTTGGGATCAAAGGGTTGTGCCGCTAAGCTTTTCTCTGTTAGGGATAAATGGTGTTGGCTTGTCTGAGTCATCACAGAGAAAGACAATTGAATGGGGATTTGGAATCCCAGCCCGACAGCGCTCAGACCATGGCTATGAATTATGGAAGCATACAAATATAGCAACACTACTCTGACGTCCTCTTTCTCTCTCTCAGCCATCCAGCCCATCCATAATCTGTCCCCTCTCCCCCTACACTATTGCATGGTTCTATTCATCCACTGGGATTAGTGGGAGAGCTGCAGCAGAGTGCCTCAACAGACTGCCCATTCACTGCAGGGGCGCAACAACACATACACACACACACACACACACTGAATTCACATTGCACAAGCAACAAGTATGAACATATTTCCTGCCCATACCACCCCCTAAAACACATGCACATTGTTCCTTATTCATAATCAATGCAATTCTTCCCCATGCTTCAGTTAAACTTAAACCAGATCCACATGGGACCATATGGCAATCAAACCCAGATCGGTATTAGTCATTTCCTTTATCCCGTTGGGTTTGATTGATTAAACGGATGGAGAAAATAAAGAAGGAGAATAATAATAAGGAAAGGCAGACTTACATTTGTGGGCCAGCAGCTTGTCCAGAGATTCCCCCCATTTGAGTGCCTCCTCCGGGGTGGGCCTGCAAATGAAAACGGAGCGGTTCTTTAGCAAGCCCATCTCTGCCAGGTTTCTCATAGTGTGACCCATCCGAAGCCCTGTGCTCCACTGTACTGCACTGGACTGGTAAGGAGCGTCAGTGTAGTCCTTTGGCTAGTACTCTGTGGAATTGCAATTCCTTTCTTCTTTTTCTCTCTTTCACACTCGCTGGTGCTCTGGGGCTGTGTGTGATCGAGCATGTGAGTGTGTATAAGTCTGTGTGCGTAAGTATGTCTAACTGGTTCCACTAGATGTCTCACCTTATACTCCCTCTCACTGCAGCTCAGGAGGCAGAGGAGGGGCGGGGACTAAACCAGCCAATGGGGATGGGTTTTGAGCCTGAGGGTCCACCCCCCAGCTTTTCTGCCCTCCCCTGCCTCCCTCATTCTCTCTGCTCTCAGATAGAGGATATGCTTCCTCTCCTTCAACCCATCTGAGGGCCTTATTGACATGGCAACAGAGGAATAGGACCCAACCATGTGAAACCATTATAATAACACTACCTGCACAGACACTACTGTTTCTTTATTTCCATTTTCTACCTTATTTAAATTTCTATCAGTTAACGTTGCAACTGACTGTGTGAATAAATGAAATAGCCTACTAAATAAATGTCTGCCTAACATACAAGTGCTATGTTCTATTGAATATAACAATTAAATATGAAACAATGAAATTCCCAGTTCTTATGCATTGTTATCGAACATTCTCTTTCTCTCTCTCTCTCTCTCTCTCTCTCTCTCTCTCTCTCTCTCTCTCCTCTCTCTCTCTCTCTCCTCCTCTCTCCTCTCTCTCTCTCTCTCTCTCCTCTCTCTCTCTCTCTCTCTCTCTATCTCTCTCTCTCTCTCTCTCTCTCTCTCTCTCTCTCTCTCTCTCTCTCTCCCCCTCTGTGGACAAAACATGCTTGCTACATCATTGCATAATATAATGCATGACAACCTGTCACATACGCTGACAAATGGATCTCCTGCTCGTTCTGTTACTGTTGCTGGGAGATATTTAATGCATTATGTAACACAATGCATATATGCATGCTTGAGTTTATTTGAAATAATATAGCAGTTGAGTAGATGCAGCTTGTGTTCAAGCGAGTGTACTCTAAAGGCGCAATGACCGCATGCAGATTATACATTAGACTTATACATTAACCATTGTTATCTAGGACCAACCAGTTTTGTCAATCAAAACAGCCATATAGCTACAGTATAAATACAGTACAGACATATGTGTAACCATGGATATTGAAGTAGTCTGACTGGACCTATCTCTCTGTTAGCAGAGCTGACCCATCAACATTTTACAATGTTGCAACTCAAAATCAACCGCCAAAACACATGCATTAAAGCTAATACAGATACACTCTCTAAAACATTCTCTTATTAAACAGGTAGAAAAAGGAGCATAAATAAACTATAGGATAATGCGTGGCTGCCTTAACCAAAGCTATAACACCCGCCTAACCTATAACAGCTATAACACCCGCCTAACCTATAACAGCTATAACACCCGCCTAACCTATAACAGCTATAACATCCGCCTAACCTATAACAGCTATAACACCCGCCTAACCTATAACAGCTATAACACCCGCCTAACCTATAACAGCTATAACATCCGCCTAACCAATAACAGCTATAACATCCGCCTAACCTATAACAGCTATAACATCCGCCTTAGCATACGGATCAACCAGGAATTGTTAAACACATCAAGACGTAATTCATTCCTTCCTTCCTCCCTTCCTTCCTCCATTTCTGTCTTTCTCTAATTTCTGTCTTTCTCTCTGTGGCTTTACAAGCGCTTCTTCACGCTGCCCACTCGTCTGTCTGTCTGAGCCAAGGCATCACCAGCTGGGGTGAGATCCAGGAAGCGGCCATGTGGACATACACACACACTGACAAACACACAAGCACACAGTCACACACAAAACACTCACTTTACTGACGACTTCAAGGACTTGTCGAATTTGCCGGCTGGGTTGCTTCCGGGAGACTCATTCCTCCTCCTCAGGAAAGCAAGCCGGTTCTTCATGTCTTTGGCCCTGAGAAAGAGAGATAACAAAAGAAAGAAAGAAAGAAAGAAAGAAAGAAAGAAAGAAAGAAAGAAAGAAAGAAAGAAAGAAAGAAAGAAAGAAAGAAAGAAAGAAAGAAAGAAAGAAAGAAAGAAAGAAAGAAAGAAAGAAAGAAAGAAAGATAGAAAGAAATGGATGGATATAGAAAAGGAGAGAAAGATGGGGAGAGACCAAGGGGAGAAAAGAGAGAGACAGAAAAGGGGGTTGAGTCTTCCTAGTCATGGGAAACAGTTCAACTTTAAAAACAAACTCCAGCGGTTCAAATCAGTTCCATATGCTCAAAACAAGAAAAGGGAAAAAGTGCCAGGGCTGTATACATTTCAGACTTCAGCAGGATATTCAAGTGTAGTAGAGTAGTGTCAAGTGGAAGTTACAGTGCGGTGACAGCTAGTATCTTTCCCTCTCCGTTGTTAATGTCTTCTTTCAATCTTTCTCTCATCTAGTTCTACCCCTGGCAGGTCCTTAGGCAGGGAGTGAGTGAATGTGGCAGTGAAGGAGGAGAGACTTACTCCTCAATCCTCCACGCATTAACACCATTCTCCAGGTGCCTAGAGGGACCCGGAGAGGGAGCTAACCCAGGGCTGGAGCCCTCGGGACAGGACACGGGGCACAGCTGCACCCCCCTCCTCCTCCATCACCTAAAATATACCCCCACTACCAACAACACCCTGCAACATCCCTTCCCATCCCCATCTCCCCGGAGAGGGCATGCCAACCCTAGTCCTCCATGCTATCCCACAATCCCTGGGTGGCTGCTAGCTCCTCCCGCTGACCTCACATGCTTCCTCATTGTGACACGATCCCACGTGACTCCCATTTCCTGGTTGATTTCCACTGTGTATTAGCTATTAGCTAAAGCGCCGCTGTCCTAATCACTGTCAACTGGCCTAATGTCACCAAAAGCCCCAGTGAGACCACAGGGCCCACAAAAGAACCCAGCATAAAAAAAAATTGGAGCCTGAAAACACACATACAGACACACACATACACACACACATACACTAACACAAACACACACACTAACACACATGCATACTGTGCAAAAGCACACACCCACATGCACACACGCACACATAGACACTCGCCCTCTCTCTGCCAGTCTCCAAAGGCCCTCTCCCAACACCTGATCATCAAACCCCTGCTTAGTTCCTGGTTCTTTTATCCACAGCCAGTCTTGGGAACTGAAAGAGCCCCAGTGTCTGTGCTCCAAGGTGGAGAGGCAAGGACGACATCAGTGGTCACTAGTGGGTGGAAAGGGCAACAGATAGGCCTGGTTTGGATGGTGTTGCCAGGCCACCTCTGTGGGTTTTCCAGGCATTTTGTGATTAGGCGAAAAGCAGGAAACAGGAAGCAACCTGGGCAACTATTTAAGATGACTCCACCACCCATCGTCAAGGGCAACCAGGAGCTGACTAGTTCCTTTCTTTCAAAGAGGAAAAAGGGTGGGGCAAGGAGTGGATGATGAACTAGGAGGAATACAAGAAGCCTCTTTCAAAATGTGTGTAAGAGGAGAGGACAGGGAGAGGAGCTTGCCAAATGTGTGAGTTAGAATGTAATTAATGACTAGTAAAACAACATGCCCTCAAGCTGGTGCTGGTTAGAGGGATGTTTGCCTCAGAGCCGAGAAGCCTCTGAAAGTGACTCTGAAGGCCACTCGATAGAGAGCTACAATGTTTTCTCTCCTCTCTTATCACTTCAGCAGGATGGAAGAGAGAAAGTGATGAAATATCAGTCAGCACTGTGATCCTCCAGAGAGAGAGTGAGAGAGAGAGAAAGAGAGAGAGAGAGGGTGGGGGACGGGGACATTTGCAACCCCCCTCTTTCCCATTCCCCTTACACCGGATGTCTCTGCATTTCTCACTGACGAGATCAGGAAATGGATTGTAAAAAGAAGAGAAAAGACGGACCACAAGGAATTGTAACAATCTGCTTCTAAGATCCTGTACTGATCAGTGTGGATATTTTAGGCCTATCTGCGTGACAGGCTGCGGCCATTGTCATCTATAAACACAAGGTGATGCATTGGGCTTGATTATAGTATTCCACAGTAGGGTTCTATTAAAACATGCTCTATCCAGATGAGGAGCTAGCGTTAGTGGAGTAAAATGTGGTTGTTGGTATGGTGAAAAACATAAAAACATTACACTCTACCTCTGGCACAATTTTTCTCCCAACAACCCACACTCACCATACTGAAGTGATCTTTACCCAAAATAAAAAGCTATTTTAGAAAGGCATAAAATCATCATAGAGAAGTGGAATGTATTTGATTGCTCTATTTTTAGCGTCCACGACCATATTTTAGGTTTCAACTAAGTGAGGTTAAAGCTGAATAGGGATGCCATGCCAACGCATGTGAGCAGAGGGACTAGTTTTTACGAGCGGTGGAAAGTATTTGCAAACCTAATGAAACAATTTATTATCCAGGTCTGGTTTCAATACAAGTGGAGTGAACTATGCTGGGCCCAGGCCGGGTGGAAAGATATGACAGGGCTGGAAACACTATTGTCATTGAGGACTGGGAGAGGTAGGGGAATTCACAACTCCACATTGCCACCTTCTGGTTAGTTTATGATACTACAGGGATATGGCCCTCCATTCTCAACATTTTACATTTACATTTTAGTCATTTAGCAGACGCTCTTATCCAGAGCGACTTACAGTTAGTTAGTGCATACATTATTTTTTTATTTTTTTCATACCCCCTGTGGGAATCGAACCCACAACCCTGGCGTTGCAAACGCCATGCTCTATCAACTGAGCTACATCCCTGCCGGCCATTCCCTCCCCTACCCTGGACGACGCTGGGCCAATTGCGCGCCGCCCCATGGGTCTCCCGGTCGCGGCCAGCTACGACAGAGCCTGGATTCGAACCAGGATCTCTAGTGGCACAGTGCCTTAGACCACTGCGCCACTCAGCATTCATCTCAACAATTGAATGTCGTAGATGAATGACTACTAAGGTTGAATTGCTTAGTATAAAAAGATTGTAACAAAGAAGAAATAATAAAATACGCAATGGTACTGAAAACTACAGGTAAATGCCATTTTGCTTAACAGACCATCCTACAACCCATTCAAACCATCTCAACGTTTCAGTAGTTGACTACCCTAGTTCTATTTTTTTTTGTACATACACCAGATAGGCGCAGTGAAATGTGTTGTTTTACAGGTTCAGCCATAGTAGTACGGTGCCCCTGGAGCAAATTAGGGTTAAGTGCCTTGCTCAAGGGCACATCAGCAGATTTTTCACCTTGTCGGCTCGGCTATTTGAACCAGCGTCCTTTCGGTTACGGGCCTAACGCTCTACTGTTAGGATACCTGCCTAATGACGTTATATGTTCTATAGACCTATGCCATGGGTGTTATTGAGAGCCAAGCACATGTGAGGCTGCTGAAACGCGTCTCAAGCCGAGGCAGTGATAAGGAGGTTACTACGCGCATGGCAGCTCTCCGGCCACGGCCATCCATCACGTTGCTGCTGTGATTATTAGCTCATACACTGGGCCTGAGGGGCCGAGGGCTACAGCTACAGCAGAGGCCAGTATAGGAGCTCAAACTCAGCAGGGTAAAGAAACCACACACACACACACACACACACACACACACACAAAGCCACAGAGGGCAGGCAGGGGACACATTCCACACGGCCCCGCTAGCCTGTTCCCCACACGGCTGAGTGTCGTCAGCCAACAACTGCTACTACCGAGAGGTGAGGGGGCAAGATTAGAGGGGATCGAGGGAAGGTGAGAAGGGACAGAGTGAGAGAGTGAAAAGATTGTGAGAGAAGAGAAAATACAAAAATACCTGGACAAGATCTTACCACCTAATAAGAGTGTAGCAGTATGACAACTTCCTGTTCACCTGGCCCTGTGCCCTTAACAAAATCTGTATTGTCTTAATATGTATTCCTCACTCTAACAATCGACCCCTCTCCGCTATATGTGATCATACCCCGGCCGGCTAGCTAATGGCCCAGCCACCAGGAGCAGTAGTGTGAGTCTGTTCCTGTCTTCATTAAACATAGCCCTAAACCTGACAGGCTAATCTTATATTAGGATAGCCACATCCCTCTCTGGGAGATTAGCAAATTAGGATGCTCTCTGATCCCATTCATCGCACCCGCTATCAGAAAATACATATATTTACATTTTAGTCATTTAGCAGACGCTCTTATCCAGAGCGACTTACATTTAGTGAGTGCATACATTTTTCATACTGGCCCCCTGTGGGAATCGAACCCACAACCCTGGCATTGCTATAGGGACTATACATTACCTGCCACACTCCCTATCTGCCAGGCAGGTGGTGTGAGTGTGCGTGCGCATGTCCGTGTGTAGAGGGGGCTGGAGGGTCTTTAGCACCATGATTATCTCAGGTCTCTCCATGTTATTCCCACTTCTCCTGGCTCACATTACCGACAGTAATACCCTCTCTCTATGTTATTCCCACTTCTCCTGGCTCACATTACCGACAGTAATACCCTCTCTCCATGTTATTCCAACTTCTCCTGGCTCACATCACCAACAGTAATACCCTCTCTCCATGTTATTCCCACTTCTCCTGGCTCACATTACCGACAGTAATACCCTCTCTCCATGTTATTCCCACTTCTCCTGGCTCACATTACCGACAGTAATACCCTCTCTCTATGTTATTCCCACTTCTCCTGGCTCACATTACCGACAGTAATACCCTCTCTCCATGTTATTCCAACTTCTCCTGGCTCACATCACCAACAGTAATACCCTCTCTCCATGTTATTCCCACTTCTCCTGGCTCACATTACCGACAGTAATACCCTCTCTCCATGTTATTCCCACTTCTCCTGGCTCACATTACCGACAGTAATACCCTCTCTCCATGTTATTCCCACTTCTCCTGGCTCACATTACCGACAGTAATACCCTCTCTCCATGTTATTCCCACTTCTCCTGGCTCACATTACCGACAGTAATACCCTCTCTCCATGTTATTCCCACTTCTCCTGGCTCACATTACCGACAGTAATACCCTCTCTCCATGTTATTCCCACTTCTCCTGGCTCACATTACCGACAGTAATACCCTCTCTCCATGTTATTCCCACTTCTCCTGGTTCACATTACCGACAGTAATACCCTCTCTCCATGTTATTCCCACTTCTCCTGGCTCACATTACCGACAGTAATACCCTCTCTCCATGTTATTCCCACTTCTCCTGGCTCACATTACCGACAGTAATACCCTCTCTCCATGTTATTCCCACTTCTCCTGGCTCACATTACCGACAGTAATACCCTCTCTCCATGTTATTCCCACTTCTCCTGGCTCACATTACCGACAGTAATACCCTCTCTCCATGTTATTCCCACTTCTCCTGGCTCACATTACCGACAGTAATACCCTCTCTCCATGCTATTCCTGGTGGTGTGAAACTGGGCCGTGCTCCCAGGGATATCTAGCTAGCTAAGTACTCAGAACTCGAGGGGAGAACTGGGTAGCTGGGGAAATGCAGACAGACACACTGCAGCTGTACAGTAGATGTACTAGAGTGTGGCTGACTAACTGACTGACTGACAGCCACGGGTGATAGGGGGGGCATGTCAACACCAACGTTAGATCACATAGAGAGACAAATAACGTTATTGACATACTAGAAATGTGCTACAGCAAAGTAACAACATAGTATAGTACTATATTAAAGAACGATACGTTGAGGTATTACACAGTCATAAATGTATAGTAGCACAGGAGCAAGAAAAGATAGCTAATGCACATTACTGTATAGTCCCACTATAGAATCAAAGAAAATGAATGCCTATCATCACTCATTGTTTGGTGCCTGAAGTCCTGCTCTGAACTACTAAATGTTTCTACCATGTCAGTTAATCAAACTTGTTAAAACACATGTGCTGTTGCTTTGAAGTGGATCCCTTCTACATCCCTCCTTCCTGTTCCACCCGGTGGCTCTGTTTCCCACGGTGTACTGGATCCCCTCTCCACACCTCCAGGCAGCACCCAACCACTACAGCCAGGGGAGGGGGTAGAGGGGTAGGGAGTAGTCCCAGACCCCAAGGTGAGCAACTTTGGGGTTGTTTTTGCCCCGTCCGGCACTCTGGCTGTTTGCGGTAGGTTATGTGCCTGGCCCTGCACCGTGTACACAGAACACACACATACCTCCCCTGTGTGTGTGTGTGTGTGTGTGTGTGTGTGTGTGTGTGTGTGTGTGTGTGTGTGTGTGTGTGTGTGTGTGTGTGTGTGTGTGTGTGTGTTGTGTGTGTGTGTGTGTGTGTGTGTGTGTGTGTGTGTGTGTGTGTGTGTGTGTGTGTGTGTGTGTGTGTGTGTGTGTGTGTGTGTGTGTGTTGTGCGTGTGTGTGTGTGTGTGTGCGTGTGCATGCGTACATGCATACGTGTGTCTGTCTGCATAACACAGCGTAGCTGCACATATCCCTCCTATTCCCCACGATGAGGACAACATCATTCTCATGGAGCAAGAGACAGTATGGTCCTCCCATTATTTTCCCACAGACTAAATGGGACAGCCTGGTCTCATAGACTAGATGTAACATAGTAAATGTAAATCCGGGACCCTCAAAATAGTATGATACAGTGGGGAAAAAAGTATTTAGTCAGCCACCAATTGTGCAAGTTCTCCCACTTAAAAAGATGAGAGAGGCCTGTAATTTTCATCATAGGTACACGTCAACTATGACAGACAAATTGAGGAAAAAAAATCCAGAAAATCACATTGTAGGATTTTTAATGAATTTATTTGCAAATTATGGTGGAAAATAAGTATTTGGTCACCTACAAACAAGCAAGATTTCTGGCTCTCACAGACCTGTAACTTCTTCTTTAAGAGGCTCCTCTGTCCTCCACTCGTTACCTGTATTAATGGCACCTGTTTGAACTTGTTATCAGTATAAAAGACACCTGTCCACAACCTCAAACAGTCACACTCCAAACTCCACTATGGCCAAGACCAAAGAGCTGTCAAAGGACACCAGAAACAAAATTGTAGACCTGCACCAGGCTGGGAAGACTGAATCTGCAATAGGTAAGCAGCTTGGTTTGAAGAAATCAACTGTGGGAGCAATTATTAGGAAATGGAAGACATACAAGACCACTGATAATCTCCCTCGATCTGGGGCTCCACGCAAGATCTCACCCCGTGGGGTCAAAATGATCACAAGAACGGTGAGCAAAAATCTCAGAACCACACGGGGGGACCTAGTGAATGACCTGCAGAGAGCTGGGACCAAAGTAATAAAGCCTACCATCAGTAACACACTACGCCGCCAGGGACTCAAATCCTGCAGTGCCAGACGTGTCCCCCTGCTTAAGCCAGTACATGTCCAGGCCCTTCTGAAGTTTGCTAGAGTGCATTTGGATGATCCAGAAGAGGATTGGGAGAATGTCATATGGTCAGATGAAACCAAAATATAACTTTTTGGTAAAAACTCAAACCGTCGTGTTTGGAGGACAAAGAATGCTGAGTTGCATCCAAAGAACACAATACCTACTGTGAAGCATGGGGGTGGAAACATCATGCTTTGGGGCTGTTTTTCTGCAAAGGGACCAGGACGACTGATCCGTGTAAAGGAAAGAATGAATGGGGCCATGTACCGTGAGATTTTGAGTGACAACCTCCATCCATCCGCAAGGGCATTGAAGATGAAACGTGGCTGGGTCTTTCAGCATGATAATGATCCCAAACACACCGCACGGGCATCGAAGGAGTGGCTTCGTAAGAAGCATTTCAAGGTCCTGGAGTGGCCTAGCCAGTCTCCAGATCTCAACCCCATAGAAAATCTTTGGAGGGAGTTGAAAGTCCGTGTTGCCCAGCAACAGCCCCAAAACATCATTGCTCTAAAGGAGATCTGCATGGAGGAATGGGACAAAATACCAGCAACAGTGTGTGAAAACCTTGTGAAGACTTACAGAAAACATTTGACCTGTGTCATTGCCAACAAAGGGTATATAACAAAGTATTGAGAAAATTTTGTTATTGACCAAATACTTATTTTCCACCATAATTTGCAAATAAATTCATTAAAAATCCTACAATGTTATTTTCTGGATTTTTTTTCCTCATTTTGTATGTCATAGTTGACGTGTACCTATGATGAAAATTACAGGCCTCTCTCATCTTTTTAAGTGGGAGAACTTGCACAATTGGTGGCTGACTAAATACTTTTTTTCCCCACTGTATGTTACGTTTGGTATGGTTACATAAGACAGATAGTTACTTGAGGGGGAAAATGAAAGTAGGGTGGTATAATGCAAACATCTAGCAACTTAAAGGTTGCGAGTTCGAATCTCATCATGGACAACCTTAGCATTTTAGCTAATTAGCAACTTTTGAACTGCTTACTACTTTTTAGCTACTTTGTAATGAGTACTTTTGGTTGTCAGGGAAAATATATAGAGTAAAAAGTACAATGTTTTCTTTAGGAATGTAGTGAAGTAAAAGTAAAAGTAGTGACAAATATAAATAGTAAAGTAAAGTACAGATACCCCAAACGACTTAAAGTATTTTTACTTAAGTACTTTACTCACTGAATGTTAGCCACCTTGCTAGAATTCGTAACATATAATATGTTTTGCAAATGTGCAACATATTGTACGTTTTGCTAATTCGGAACATATAATATACTAATTTTAATTTGTAACATATCATACGAAATGGGTGATTGACATCCACAAATTAATACATACCATACGAAATGTAACATACAGTATCATACTAATTGGAGTGGCACGGATTTAAGTACAGAATATTACGAAAGGCTCTGAGACCAGGTTGAATAGGAATGTGGTTTTCCAGAGTAATTCCATTGGATCAGGGTAGGCTGTTAAAAAACAGAGCAGGCAAACACACTAAGATATAAATCTTTACTTTTCAAGAGTGCCTGAATCTGAATTCCATCTGGAAATACAGTAGTACATTCTATTCCAACCAAGGAAAATGCTGAAAATAGAAATTGTCCTACAATGTTCAGTATATATAAATCAACACCCAACTAAACCATCTGACTAATTTAAATCTCCATTCTCAACATTACTCACCTTACAAACCACAGAGACCACATAAGAAATCCAGGCCGATTATTAAAAGACAAGGCCAATCTCTAGATACAAGTGTCCTCAAAATAGATTTAACCACACATGAGTCCTCTCACCCAGCAACTGGCAAATGACACTCAGGAGAGAGGTCAGCTAGCCTCCTAACAGCTTTTGAGCAGTATCCCTCAGAGCCTAAAACGTCACCTTCCTTCCTTCCTTCCTTCTCCCTCCCTCCCTCCCTCCCTCCCGCTCTCTCTCCCTCCCTCTCTCTATTTATCCAAAAGCAGCAGAGAGCACACACGCAGAACATAACACCTATGGGTTCTAACTTACCTTTCCAGGTACTTCTCAGAGAAGTCGACCATAGCGGGGAACATCGGCGTAAGTCTTTAGGGTCCTGCGTGTAGTCCTGTGTGTGTAGGTCCTGTGTGTATAGTGTATGTGGGTGTGTGTGTGTGTATGTGTTGTTAGAATGCGGTGCTCAGGGCAAGGGTAATTCAGTTGTGACATTCCTCTAACCCGGGAGAGGCTCCTCTGTGGCTTTATATAGTCCGGGAGCCAGGAGAGGCGGGCCCAGGGCTCACCCAATAACAAGGCTCTATTCTGTCTGAGCCCAGATAATCTTGGTTAACCCAAAACTAAAGTCTCGCGTAATTGGTCAGATGACGTAGTCTGTCCACGAGAGACAGGCATGGATTTTATGGGGTAGTAAATGCTTTAATTTCACAACTACACTCCCCTATGTAAAACATTTGTATTGGTCTCTATACTCCAGCATTTTGGATTTTAGATCAAATGTTTTATATGAGGCGACAGTACAGAATATCACATTTTATTTGAGGGTATTTTCCTACATATCTGTTTAACTTTTTAGAAATGAATGCATTTTATGTATTTAGTCCCCCCATTTAAAGGTGTCATAAATATGTGGACAAAATCACTTATACACTCTTAGCAGTAAAGGAGCCTATAATAATCTTTTGGAGTTCAAAAGATTGCCCCTGTGGTCAGATAGGTTCCTCGAGGAATCCCTCTGAAAAGATTATTAGAAGAACCCTTGTGCCATGATGCCTATCTATTCACAAAAGCACCACATATTGACCCTTATACGCTGATACTGGGCTGCCAGTGTAAAAGTTCAAACAGGAACCTTTTTGTGAAGAAGGGGTTGCATTTTGAACCTTTTTAATAACATATTGTAGCAGTGGCAGCCTATCAGAAGATTGGAGGTGTGGCTTTCAGATAGTTATTTTTGGCCACTTGTGAGAGTAAATGTCATTCCTGTTCATTATGTTAAGTTTGTACACTACAAATACAAATGTTCCTTGAATATTTATGCATATTAAATATTCTAATATAATATTAACATTCCTGATTACATATAGTAGTAAACTGGTAGCTATTCCAACATTGGCATTTGCATAGGCTATTGAGGAAGTCATACATCTCTGTAAGCCTCTTTGAAGCTACAAAACTGTCAGTGTTGTCAGCCTTAACATGTGACAACAATACAACGGACCAGATGAACAGGAATGACATTTACTCTCACAGGTGGCCTAAAATAACTATCTGTAAGCCTCACCCCTACTAAGCCATGCCTCATATCTTAATAACCCAGCATCAATAACCCAGTCTCAACAACCCACCCTGGCTCTTTTTAAAGAAAACAACCCAACTAAGTGACCCAATGCCTGCAACCCAGCAGTTGTGTCATCCAAACAACCAAGTGGTTTTAAGACTGTAGGCTAGGTTGGAGATACTGTATCTCGCTAGCGAACTAAGCCAAAGACTAATAATGCACATCATAAACAAACGTCATTACCATCACAATAAACTTTCGAAATTAAAAAACGGAAGGCTACAGTCATATTATAGAATTGGCTTGAACACCAATGTTTATTATTCGACATTGCTATTAAAATAGTACTCATATAGGAATGGGTAAATGTTTACAAGTTGCTAACTATTCCATAAAGCCATTGCTTCTTCTGAGTCTGGCAGCCCAACAAATCCAACAGGAAAATACATTCAAAGTGCTATGCACATGGAGTTACTTTTATTGTAAATCAGAATAGAATATGATTCTAAGCACATTAATGTGGATGCTTCCATGATTATGGATAATCATGAATGAATTGTGAATAACGATGAGTGAGAAAGTTATAGATGCACAAAGATCATTGGGGGTATGATATTTATGCCTCTGTAACTCTTACAATAAAAGTGACTCCAAAATGACACAATACATTATTTAACATTAATTTCTATTGGGCACAACATAAACTGAAACACAACCAAAACAAACTGCAAATGCATCCAACATCTTTGTAGAGTCACAAGCTTGATGGAATCATTGTGTGTTAGAAATATGGGACCAAATACTAAACTTTTGACTAAATATAATACACTATAAGTGAATTTGTCAAAAATACTTATGACACCTTTAAAGGGGGGGACTAGATACATAAAAAGCTTTCATTTCTCAATGGTAAAATAGATATGTATGAAAATACCCTAAAACAACTACTATTGACCTAACCTTGTAGAGCTATTGTTACTACTTCAGCGATATGACAACTATAATCACTATCACAACTAGTAGAAAATCCCGAATACATTTACGACGTTTTATCTTTCCTGTCATGTAGCAAAACAACAGGTGGATATTATTTTAGCACATCTGGGGTAATGTTATCCTTTCGTCTGGGGTGTGTGTGTGTGGTGTGTGTGCGTGCATGCATGCTTGTCTGTGTGAGCATATGTGAGCCTGCCTACAGTACGTGCATGTTGGTATGTGTCTTTGTGTGTGTGAGTTGGCCGGATGTCTGTCAGTGCTGGGGGAGAGAGGTGTGTAGGGATCGTTGTCATGGGGAAGCTCTAACATCTGGCACCTGTAGCACAAGTAACAATGAACAATGGAAGGGAATCAGAGGGTATATGAACCGCCCAGGAAAGCAGCTGTGCTACATCCAGACAAGCATGGGTAGGGATAGGAGGAGAGGGAGGGAGGGAGGGGGAGGGAGGGAGGGAGGGAGGGAGGGTGGGTGAGAGGCCTGTCTATTAGCCTGTCTGGATAAAGGCATTAAACTCATGTTTCCTCTTACAAACTCTGCCTGGAATTCAATGAAATCTGCACAGCAGTACCTTCACTTTTTGCTGCCAGAGGCTCCTAAACGCTATAACACTGCACCAACATCGACAACGTTTCGACAACGGTTCGGCTGCAATAGACTCTCGCTATAGGCCACCTAAAAAACAGGTGTCACCACTCTCAGATCGACCCAGTAACCTAAAGTGACTTCCTTCCTGAATCCTGCAGTAGGCTACCTACCTAGCACCCTTTTCAACAGCCAACACTATTGTCAACATCAACATTCCACAGGCTTAACTGGGAACAAGACATACTCCCTGTTTTACTTCACTTTTAACAAGTAAACAGCCCCACGTTACATAAGAAGCAACAACAGGGTTTCAAACATTCAATTGCACTCTTAAAGTCTTGAATAACGCAAGTGCGCTCTGGCTCGGACAGGTATTTCTGTGTTAAAACAGAGGGTTGTTTCTCTAAACTATAAGTTTTAAAAGGCTTCTAAAGTTTGTAATGTCCACTTTAATATGTCAGACTTGATTTGCCCAAACAAAAAATTGATAAATCCCAACAAAACAAATGTATTAATTATAATCCACACAATAATTCATATTTCCTGTTGCTGCAGGATTATTTTCCTGTTGTAGCAAACTGGCTCAAATTAAGATCCTACATCTGTAAGCCTCTACCTTGTTCATGGCGAGCCAAGATAGCTAGCTCTGTATGAACGGTTAGCTCAGACTGTCAACAGTAGCATTGTGAAGCCAGTAAGCTCATCAGGCTCAATGGAATCAGGCTCCACAGTGGGTAGATTGACTGAATGACCAATAGAACACTGCTCTAATTGGGGCTTAACAGGGGCCCACCCTAGGGTGCTGTCCTGTCCTGACCTAAAGGGGTTTGTGGGTGGGTGGGGTGGGATGGGCATAGTTCGGTTTGAGTAATGACTACAAAATCACTTTAAGTAACTGTACTCAAATATATTAATTTCAATGGGTTTCCTCTAAAAATGTAAGTAATGACAGCACATTGGGGTTTAAAGTGTACTACTGACCAGCATTCTAGATCAACCGGCACCAGCTACACAACCACCTCAAACCAGACATCAGTTTTGTGAGGCTATGCCACAGCCACCAGTTAGCCTTGATGCAGGATCATTCATTAATACTTAGGCAATTAGCAGTCCAAGCTTAATACCCATTATAGTACTGGATAGCAGATTATTAAATACCAGTAAACATTGTCGCAATTGTTTTCCTTTCCACAAGGCGCTATTGGTTTAATCCTACTCAGGTCAGGCCGATTCTGAACGTGAGATACGAATGCACAACTCAAACATATCCAGCAACATCAATGTACAATTTACGCAAAACATCAAGTTAATTTCTCATTAAGCCCATATTGCATATTTTTCTCATGAGTTGCTTTCCTCCCTATGAACGTAAGTGGAGATGTGTGTTAAACATAGGGCTTTAGGCATACAGCTTCATATCCTGGCCTCCTACGTACAGTGGGGAGAACAAGTATTTGATACACTGCCGATTTTGCAGGTTTTCCTACTTACAAAGCATGTAGAGGTCTGTAATTTTTATCATAGGTACACTTCAACTGTAAGAGACGGAATCTAAAAAAAAATCAAAAATCCAGAAAATCACATTGTATGATTTTTAAGTAATTAATTTGGATTTTATAGCATGACATAAGTATTTGATACATCAGAAAAGCAGAACTTAATATTTGGTACAGAAACCTTTGTTTGCAATTACAGAGATCATACGTTTCCTGTAGGTCTTGACCAGGTTTGCACACACTGCAGCAGGGATTTTGGCCCACTCCTCCATACAGACATTCTCCAGAACCTTCAGGTTTTGGGACTGTCGCTGGGCAATACGGACTTTCAGCTCCCTCCAAAGATTTTCTATTGGGTTCAGGTCTGGAGACTGGCTAGGCCACTCCAGGACCAGGGCCACTCCAGGACCTCCAGGCCACTCCTTAGTTGCCCTGGCTGTGTGTTTCGGGTCGTTGTCATGCTGGAAGACCCAGCCACGACCCATCTTCAATGCTCTTACTGAGGGAAGGAGGTTGTTGGCCAAGATCTTGCGATACATGGCCCCATCCATCCTCCCCTCAATACGGTGCAGACGTCCTGTCCCCTTTGCAGAAAAGCATCCCCAAAGAATGATGTTTCCACCTCCATGCTTCACGGTTGGGATGGTGTTCTTGGGGTTGTACTCATCCTTCTTCTTCCTCCAAACACGGCGAGTGGAGTTTAGACCAAAAAGCTCTATTTTTGTCTCATCAGACCACATGACATTCTCCCATTCCTCCTCTGGATCATCCAGATGGTCATTGGCAAACTTCAGACGGGCCTGGACATGCGCTGGCTTGAGCAGGGGGACCTTGCGTGCGCTGCAGGATTTTAATCCATGATGGCGTAGTGTGTTACTAATGGTTTTCTTTGAGAC